CACAGGAACAGTCAACAAAACAGACAGCAAATATAAATATTCCATCACTACACTCAGTATAAAAAAGGCAACCCAATGTGAACTAGCTTTCTATTTTATTCTAAATAGAAGACTAAATAGTAATCCCTCAAATGCAAACACACACCAGATTGTTAACTCTGCAGATGAGGGAACTATATCTTATTTTTCTGCATACTAGCACTGAACTAGACACATTTGAAGTGTCAATGTTTTTTTAATTGAATTGTATTTGCTAGGCTGGCGTGGGAGTTAAAAAGATGTTGACTAGTAATTCACTATTCTTTTCCCTGAGAGCTCTTTAAATCAAGCTCTTAAAAAAAAGCAGCAAGCTAAATTCCAAAACCCTCTCTTAGGAGAATGCCCACAACTGGTGGGGTCTGGACTATGTCCACTGGATGTGCAAATCTCTTCTGCACAAACACCCTTTACTCCCAAGGGAGCCCATGACTGGCTGCCTGGCTGTGGAGACTCACACGTTCCCTCTTTCCCAATGGCATGGGGTCAGGGGAAAGGGTGGGAGCAGAGTGATGAAGCACTGCTAAACTTAATGTTCTGCTCTTCCTTGGAGAAGGGAAATCTCACAACAGGAGGAGAGCTGGTACTTTTCTGGAGGAGGAACCATAAAGAACACAAAGAAGTTGAAAATTATCTTTTTTTGAAGACAAGTTTTTGGTGTGTTTTTAAAGGGCCACTCACATAATACCTCTTACCTTAGACTGGACTGGTGCTATTGGAAGGACCTTGTCAGAGCTGAGCTGAAATTCTACAAACTGGGGTCAAAGTTGACTGAGTCAGTGGAAGGGTAATATGAGATATAGAAGGAGTCATTAGGCTATGATCCTCACTTTTTTAAAATGTATCCTAGAACATTAACAAAAACAAAATGCTATCCTATATAATAAAACCCTAATATGCAAATCGACCAAACGGTGGAACAACTGGTTGCTATGATATGCACTGACCACCAGGGGGCAGACAATGCAGGAGCTATGCGCTCCCACACGGGGAGCACCCACCGCTCAGCCTGAAGCCGAGCTCACTGCTGGTGAGCACAGGAGTGGTGGCCAGAGCCTTTCCCACCTCCACTGCAGGAGGGCGGTAAGGGGCGAGGGGGGGACTGTGAGAGGGTGCAGGCTGGGCTGAGGGACTCCTCCCCACCACTAGTGCATGAAATTTCATGCACCAGGCCACTAGTTTTCTAGTAAAAACTTTTCCTGAAATATACTGAGCTAGATTTGAAGGAGGTGGAATAGAAAATACTGATTTTTCTGGGAGGCAATCAAAACAATTCAGTAATCTCCTAAGCTTTTTACAAATTCTCTTGAAGATTTAGTTGCAATATAAAACCCACACATTTTTATTGGCAGTGTTTGGTTATCAACTGCACAACTCTCTGAAGTGCCTCCTATACAATTCCCATGTCTGTCTCTGTTACACATTCCCGGGGCTGCTGGCAGGACCTGTCATGTTGGTGCCATGGTCTAGCCTAGTAAACTTTCTCCAGGGGATTTAGGACACACTCTCCCAGCTGCCAAGTTCTCTACTTATAAGGTGCAGAATTTATTAGTGTAAAGAAAGACAAAAAGAGAGACTGTTACCTTTTTAAGTGCATTTTACATATGGTTTCTTTATTAGAGCTTGGTGTTTCCAGAAATACAGCTGCCCAGCTCGTTTGTGCTAAATCAGTGGGATTTGTTTTAGCTTCCTATGAGCTTCTGTGAGCTCTGCTACTACCACATATCAACCGAGGTCTTCTGTGCCATGCTTTCTAAGGAAGCAACCTGCAGCGACTCTCATTTTGAGAAAAAAACCATGAAGACTTGCATCTTTAACCTACACAGAGCCATGCTTTGGAATTCAGGATTGTCCAGGTCTAGAAATCAAGCCTGTCTAGTTACCCAAATACCATCTTTTTCTAGTCTAGGTTTTCTTCTCTTCAATTCCTGAAAATGCCTATTTCCAACTCTGGACCCAATTCTGAGGCAAACATTGGTCTCAGACCATAGCATAGATACAACAAAGAGCACTGCAAGAAACGGTGCAGCATGGTGCAAAGAAAACAGGATTTGGAGCTGATAGACTCCTATATTCCAGTTCTTACTACTTGTCTGACCTTGGATTAGTCACTTAATAATCTTAGTTTTTCTTCAGCAAAATAAGTAAAAATAGTCATACTATAAGACTCTGCAGAGTAATTATGCCAAAGTATAATTATTTTGTTCGCATGTTTATTTATTTTCCATTTCTCAGTATGCCTCATTAGATTATAAGCATGCCTTTTCTCTGTGGTTCATCACAATGGCCCATTGCACATGATCAAGAAGAGTGAATAAGATTTGAATGAAGGAAGGAAGGAATAAAGCAAGAAGGAAAGAAAGAAAAAAGGAAGGACAGAGGGAAGGGAAGACAGAGTGCTCAGAGCATTATTGGTGTATATGAAAGTGGTATATAAATTAAATATTGTCCACAATATTAAAGAAATTATAACTCACATTTGATGCATTAATTATATGAAGGTGATTTTTAAAAATGTTACTTCCCTCCATAAAACCATCCTATGACTTTTCATACTACTTACAGGAAAATTCAAACTCCTATTAGCTTAAAAATCCCCATGTGCTCTGACTCCAGCGGGGCTTCATGTCCAGTCCCCCCTTCTCTGCCAGGCCCTGTCACTCAGCTATTCTTGTGTTTCCTCAAACATGTCTGCTGTGAGGACTTCATGCTAGCTCTCCTCCTTCCTGAAAGCTCTTCTGCAAAATCCATATGACTCCTTCTTTTCACTGGGCTCTTAGCTTCAACGTCACCTTCTCAGAGAAGCCTTCCTTCCACACACTTTCCAGGAGCCTCCACTGACTCCTTGTTATATAGCACTCTATTATTTATATATTCACTTACCTATTATTAGTATCCTCCTCACTATCTGATGATCAGTATTTTCATATGACATTATATTGGTTTAATGTACTTTTCTAATTATTATTTTGTTTATCTCTATAAGTTTATGAGCTCAAAGCAAGTACAAAACCCTGTAGTTCAAACTAAAATTTCCCTCTCCATCCCTCTGTACCCAGCCCTGCCCCCCCCCTCCCCTACACACACGCACATATACACTTTGAGAGAGACATTGTGGCTCTCTGAATAAAAGCAACTGTGCCATATTGTGATTGAATTGGAGTGATATGCAATAAGTGATGCAATAAATGTTCAGAACTCTGACTAGAGGGATTGTTTTGAGACATGGAAATGGTGCTGTTGGAGGCCAAGCTGTTCTCTGTTCCAGGCTTGGAGGCCTCCTGGCTCAGGCCTGGACTTAGGCAGAGGGAAGCAAATGGCAGTAACACTCACTGGTTCCACTGGGTTTGTTTACTGTGGACCCTGGGGGAGCAGAAATTCTCCCCCAGGGAGCACTGGGCCAGGGCACAAGGACAGGCCCTAGGGCTGGCTCTACCTGCCCTCTCGCCACCTCCCCACCCCACGTTATCAGTCCCTCTGTTATGTGAGGTGGAACTAGATCATCTAGAAGGAGGATCCTAGCTCTAACATTCTGTGGGTTAATGAGAGGAGTCTGACCTTGCATCATGACCAAGACATCTGTGAAAAGGATGGCCCCGGTAATATTTCTGGTAAGCACAGTTTTTCTGGACTAAATGGGATTTCTTGGACTGGTCAGTCACTGGACACACCCAGGTCTCTGCTTTTGCAATTCTTCCTTAGCTTTCTTTCCATTTCCTTTGCTTTGCTCGAGAAGTTGGTGCTCTGGAAAAATCCCCTCAATGTCACATAGGGATCAACATCTAACTGTAAGTGTACTTCATTCAGCCATTCTCCAAGGGATGGGCTCCTACTGTATCTGATTTTGGCCAGCATGCTCCCATCTGCTTTCAACATGTTGTATCTGACATTAACTAATGTCTCCTATTAGCATTAAAGAAAACAATCTGGAAAAATTCACTCTCAAGCAGAGTTCAAACAGGCCACAAGTAGATGTGGAATCTCAACTGCACAAGATTTCTTAAAATTATAGTAGTAAATACGATATATATAAATGTGTGTGTGTGTGTGTGTGTGTACATGCACATGTAGAGGTGTGGTTGATGGGGGGTAAAGCCAAAAGTCTGTGAAATGGGTCAAGAATGCTTCTGTCCAATTCATGAGATTAACTGGTAACAGAAGAAGAATTCTCCCAGAGTGGAACAAGGCATAATCCAAAGAACTGAATGACATGGAGAAGGAGCTGGGAATCTTTATCTCACACTTACTGGTAATGGGTTAAAATTCTGGTCCACGAGGTGATTGTATCCATGGTCAAAAAATGAGTGCCGTATCACAACATCAATGCCCTGATTGGCCAGCATTCCTAAAGTGTTCAGCCATCTAAAAAGCAGGGGGGAAAAGCTACATTAATACATTTTTAAATAGCATATAACAAATTCTACAGAGTCTGACTAACACACACATATATACACTAACCACCCTCACCACCAAATTTACCTCATACTTTAAAGGAGAAGATTATTTTAAGCATTGAATACCCAGCTGGAAGAGATTTTAGAAATTATCAAATCTTACCTCTCACTTTATAGGAAAAGAAAAAGAGATACAGGAGAGTAAAATGAATTGCCCTTGGTCATAAATAGCTTGTTGCTAATGATTTATTTTCTATTCCTGCAATAGTCAATATTTAAATGAACACTATAGGCACTTGTAAACATGATTATCACCCCCTGGCCACAGGATACACAATCACAGGAGCACACACACTATACTTTTCATCACTTGAACTCTCCTGCTTACACCTTATGACTGTGCATGTGGCTTTCATGTATCTCTATTTCAAATACTCCGATGATCTGTGCAAGTGTGGGACAGTCATTAGTATCCCTCATATATTACCATCAGCAGTTGATGCAATAATAATTGTCTTCACACCATAACTATACAGGGATTGAAGTGTGCTACCATCACATGCATATCACAGTGAAGGACCTGCATTGCTCAAACACTTATTGCATACCCCATTGTGCCAAACACCCACTTTCCAGGGCATGTTTTTTTCCCAAAAATATTGTTCTCTGGGTTCTTCCAACACCCATGCTAACTCTGCTTTCATTATTGACAAATTCAGTTCATTCTTTTCTCTTTCTCTTTCTACTTCTGAAACGTAGGGAAACTTCTAATCGTAATAATATAAGTGTAAGAAATATGATTGAGAGCTTCAGTCTTCTCAGTATAATATTGAGGCATTTCATAATATTTTCTCAGGATATGTGTCTAGCTTCATCTGTCACTTCTTCTTTCCTTTTCTCTCACCCTATCCCCCATTTCCCAGGCTCTAAGCTACATAAAACTACTCTTGGCTGCCCAAATACACCTGCTTTCACATGCTTACCTGAGTCTTTATATTTTAACTTCTGCTCAGTATTCCCTTCCTCTCTTCCTCTAACCCATCTCATCTGGCAAATTTCTTTCCACCTGTTAATCTACTAGTCAAGTGTCGCCTCCTTCTAACTTCTGCCACCACAAAGTAGTACCTTCCTCCTCTGTACTCCCAGAACTCTTATTCATACCCTTTTCCAGCCCATTAAATGACAATCACTTGCTTACTTCTCTGCTGTCTCCCAGTTGGTTATAAATTCATCAAGAACAGATATATGTTTTAGCTTTGTACCCCAAACACCCATCACTGTTCCTAGTACAGTGTAGGTGCTCAATACCCTTTATTGTGTTGAAAATGATCTGGATCAAATTAGATCCTAGGAATTTTAAAAATCACCATTCAGCATACTAGAGACATATTATGCATAGTTGTGATTTTCCAAATCTGAAACCATATGGAGCTCCAAACCAGTGACTTATAGAATGAAAGTTTTCCCTTACTGAAATGAAGAGCATTGCTAATTTTTATATTATGAATGAATATCATTGATATTTTCAAATATTTTTCACATTGACAATTATGTTATTCTCATAAAAACTAACAAATATTTACTGATAATTAGAGTTACAAATACAAAACAAAACACAAAAGTTTTAAATATAAAAGAAAATTTAACAATAATATAATAGAACCTTTTTGTTTGTTTTAATTGGGACATTGCAACTCAGGGAATTAAAAATTCTTTTGAAATATCACGCCTAAGCTACTTGCCTTTATTATTTTTATTAATTTGGCAACCCTATGAAATCAGGATAACAGCTTTGGCTTTTCCTTTGAGACACACTACTAAATATCTTGTAGTAGAACTATAACACGACTTCTGGGTGGATGCCTCCTAACTCAGTGTTCTTTCAATGTGAAAATAGGGCAAATACAACAGGGCCTACATCTAACAAGTATTTATCTATAAAAACACGTGTGTTATTCTCCTTTCTAGCCCTGTCCTTGTTGAGTGAATGAAGAAACAGAGTGATGAGTAAATATGTCATCATGTATATGTGAGACCCTATATCTACCAGCATCTGGATGTCAACACAAGACCATATTTTGGTATTTTTATATGTGAAAAGTTCCCACTTGTTCATTCATTATTCATTCAAGGACATTAATTAATCAATTGTAAATGCCAGGCCTTATTTTCAACATAGAGGATAGATTTAAAAAGTGCTATGACTATGTAAGTCATTTGTAAAGCACTGGGTATGTAAATACCTGTACATACACATTTACAGGGATGGTATCAAATTCCTACTTGTGACCTCTACAGAGCCTAGCACAGTCACCTGCAAAGATTTATATATATATATATATAAAATAAATGTTAACTAGTAAATCTGAGTTTTTGCTAGTATATGGGGAGGTTTTGAAGGAACTCTCACACAAAAGGGAAGAATATGCATCTTCTTCTCCAAACCCACATCCAATATGCACATCCCCACAGCAGTCAAAATTGACTATAGCCAGAACTCCTGCTTCCCCCTGGCTTTTCAGAGTGGATGGTTAGTACTGAAGTTATCTTCATCTTCTTCCAGTAATAATAAGCCCTGAGAGGAAGAGATACATGATGTTCTAAGTCTCCCTTTTATGCTCAAATAGAGAAAGGGGTAAGCTGACTGAAATATTTCACCAAGGATGCTACTGCAGCCAGTATTTTTCATTCCGCATAAGTGTATTGCATATCTAATATGTGCCAGACACTACTAGAAGCTGGAGACACAGTAGTACGCTAAGGGTACATTGTAGTGCATCAAAGAATCTCCAAGCCCTGATGGGAAAAAGTACCCTTGAATACTTGGCAGTGAAGAATTCTGATTCATGATTGCATGGATATGTGTACCAGTAAGCTCACAGTTATACCATATATTGGGAAAAAAGGATAAAAAAATGTTTTTTTCCTATTTCTTGCTAACTTTCGGGAACTTCCTATAATGCTTTACTTTTTTTTTTCTAGGAAGCAATTTATGCACCTTGAAGAGAACTGAACTCAAAGGACACAATGCTGGATAGCTGCCAGTGAAGCTGTGAGCAAATGTGTGCTAAAGAGGTAAGAAGGAAAACCAGGAGCAGAGTGAGCTAGTCTTCATATAGTCTGTGCCAACTAAGCAATGGGTGTCTGAACTACGACTAGAATCTAAACAACCATGTAATCTGTGTTCTGCAAAATGACTGCAGAGATATTTGGCTGATGCTCATTAAAGATAGGTCTCTCTCCAGCTCCCTCCATGAAGGTCTGTGGTACTTCTCATTTCACATCATCCCCTAAAGAGAAGAATGCTCATGAAAACACTTAGTACACTGGGGCTGTTTGCTGGGCTCTGCAGCAGAGTTCTTTTGCAACAGCTGAGCAAAAGCTAGACCACTGCTGATGCCAAGAGGTCCCCTGTAGTACCTACTGCTAGTCTGGCTTCTTACCCTGGCCCCGGGGCTCACAGTGAAACCTGGTGAGGAGTATATTTTTGAAAGAAGGCTCTCAGCAGCATTATCAAATGCTGATTCACTCCATGTCATTCATCTCTTCTGTGCAACTCAGTGTTAAGTGCTGAGGACACATAGATAGAAGACCCAGGGTATCACAGTATATTACATTGACTCATTATCTTCCTCTGCACTTGCAGGATTCCATCTGTAAAGGCAAATCTACCTGACTGACTTGATTTTTCCTTCACAAATGTGTCAAATAAGCTTCTTAGGAAGACCTTGCTTAGCCAAAAGCCAGGACCGTAAGACTAGACAGGACAGGTTATTAGCCCATGGTCCTGAGGGATTTGTCCCTGCTATGTAACACTGGCAGGACAGTCAGAGGTCCTTATTCTTCTGGCTTAAATTGTTCTCCAGAAAACTTCAATAACCTTCAAGTTCATTTTCCCATCCCTTGCCTCTCCAAACTCTTTAAGTGTACTATTGCCAAAGCCAATGTTTTAAAACATAGGTCAGAAGGTGTCTCCTCCAAAACCTTCACTGGCTTGCCACTGAATACGGAACAGGCTTCATTTCATTTGCCTGATCTTCAAGGCCTTTCGTGATTTGATGGTAAACTCCCTCCTTAGTCTCAGCCTTCCTACATTCCCTCAGATGCCAAGGCTTTTGTCACACATTTCCCCTCCCCTGTTCCTTCAGCTGAGAATGCTCCCTGTCCTGTCACCACCATTCTCCACCAACAGAAATTAGAGTAATCTCTCTTTGTCCCATTCAAATGCTACTTTTCCCATGAAGCCCTTCCTGATTCTCCCAGAGAAATCCTTGATTCCTTTGCATGTCAATTACTTTTCTTTTATAGACAGGCTCAGGGAAAGGTGGTCTGATATAGTGGCAAAGAGGCTGGAGCACGCTGCCTGGGTGTGAGTCCAATCTCTGCTACTAACTAATAATAGTATTTATCTCACTAGGTTGTTATAAAGTAACTAGAGGCCTGGTGCATGAAGTTCATGCGGGTCGGGTCCCTAGGCCTGGCTGGTGATCAGGGTCAATCTGCAGGGCGACCTGCGGAGCAATCAGGGGGCCGCCCGCTGGCACCCACCTTGGCTGGCCTGGGGCCTGCGGGCTGGTGGCAGCTCCTGTGTTGAGCATCTGCCCCTGGTGGTCAGTGCATTTCATAGCGACCGGTCGTTCTGCCATTTGGTCAATTTGCATATTAGGCTTTCATGATAAAGTAACAGTTCTTACTTCACTGGCTGTTAAATTATTAGCCATATATAAAGCATTTTAAACAGTGCTTGGCACACACTAAGCACAACAGAGTTAAAATTATTATTATTATGGCACTTATCTTTATGACTTTACTTATCTTGTCTCCCTTCCTCCAATGTTAAGATTTTGGAGGGCAAAAACCCTGTGTTACTCTTACCCATCTCCCAGGACTATGGTGAAAATTAGATGAGAAAATGTCAGCACTATGTTTTGCACTGGAGACATTAAATAAATTTTTTATTAATTTTATGACTACTGTTGCTACTATTTTGTTCTGATGCCTATGCCTGGCATTTTCATATTTAGAGAAGTCTCTAATCTTGCTTTATTGAATGGCTAAACATATTCACAAATAAGTGGCTGAAGAATTTTCAACATGAACTCTCCCTCTCAAGGGCAGAATACTGAGCAACTATGGAAGTCTCACTATCCTTCTTTCCTCAAAGTCCCTGGAAGTGAAATTGAAAGTGTTACTCACAAGAATCCTGCAGCATAGGAATCTGATAGGTTGTTTGTGCCTCCAGCTGAGGTGGTTACCACACCTTCAAGCCAAATCTTCTTTCCTGGCGTGTATGTATTAACCACCTGTTCACACAACAAAGCAGAAAGGAATAGTGATATTATTAAAAGCTGGTCTCCAATGAGAAGAAACACACATCCCTTAAGGAAATTCCTGCAATCCCTTACTCCCAGGTGGTAAGGACCTATGCTTTTTTTATTTTAATGCACCCCATACAGTGACCTGGCACATGCATGCATGTACACACACACACACACACACACACACACACACACACATACACACACAAGAATTAATACTGACACATGTCCACCAAAAGAAATAATCACTTTTCCCTAAATTACTCCAATGTGACAAGAGAACAAGTGCATATTCCAGGACATAAACTGACTCCAACACCCTTCACTAGAAGATATAAATCTATGATATTTCCTTATTAACAAGCACTGAGAAGCAAGTTTTCTTTTTGTTTTTAAATACATTTTTATTGATTTAAGAGAGGAAGGGAGAGAGAGATAGAAACATCAATGAAAGAGAATCACTGATCGGCTGCCTGCTGCACACCCCCTTCTTGGGATTGAGCCAGCAACCTGAGCATGTGCCCTTGATCAGAATCAAACCTGGGACTCTTCAGTTCACAGGTCAACACTCTATCCACTGAGCAAAACCAGCTAGGGGTAAAAGCAAATTTTCTTAATACTCTGTTACAGCAAATCCATGAATGAGTGCACTGTCCATACATCAAAAGTCATCAATCATGAGAGTCCACAGAGATTAATGTCTGGGAGAAGTATTTTACAATTACCAGGGCATGTGTACATATTATAACCACATTTTGAGGTAACTGCAGTAAGCATAAAAAGAAAAATCACTGACCCACAGGTGAAAGATCCTACACAGGGAGCAGTCTCCTAAGCAAAGGCAAAACCTTTTGTCAAAAGGTGGCCCTCTGACGTTTTGAAATGGCCTAGTATCTAATCCACAAGTTGGAGATTGGCCAAACTATCCCAATCAGAGCTCAGATATTTTGGGAAGCAATCTGGCAGTACTTAGGGATAATGCTGCACACTGCTTAGCCTCTGAAAGCAGAGCTGACACAAAGGTTTGTCTATATGGTTT